CCCAAAGTAAATATGCAGTGCAGGGGGATCTCCCGGAATACCGTTTCGTAGTCCCAAAGTAAATATGCAGGGCAGGGGGATCTCCCGAAATACCGTTCCGTAGTCCCAAAGTAAATAGGCAGGGCAGGGGATCTCCCGGAATACCGTTCCATAGTCACAAAGTAAATATGATTTCAACAACTGCACATCAAGTGCTCACATATCACAAATGGCTCATCAAGTGCTCAAATATTTCAACTTGCCACATAAATCAACAATACATCATTTTCCACAATAAGGAGCCCATGGCTCGACCATAATGTGCATAAAATCTTAACAAAGTGTATTTCACATAAATTCAAGGTGGCAATCACACCAAATCATCATATAAAAATAATTTTAACAAACAAGGATCTAGGCATGACAAATAGAGAATGTAAGAAGTGCAAATAATTTCCGACTTAATACATAAGGGCATCTAAGAATTTTAACCAATGTAATTTGTACATATAAACGAAGAACGTACTCGTCACCTCGCGTACATGATTTTCAATTACACAATTTACACATAAGACTCAATGCCTAAGGGGTAATTTCCCCCACTCAAGGTTAGGCAAGATACTTACCTTTTTGAAGTTATGCCAATATTCCATAATCGCCTTCTTGCTTGAATTGACCTCCAAATGCCTCGAATCTAGCCACAAATAATTCGATTCAGTCAATAAAATTTATTGGAATTAATTCCATAAGAAAATACTAATTTTCCAACAAAAATCCGAAATTAGCTCAAACATTGTCCGTGGGGCCCACATCTCGGAACCCGACAAAATTTACAAAATCCGAAAGCTCATTCAACCACGAGTCTAGCCATACCAATTTTACCAAAATCCGACCTCAACTCGACCTCCAAATCTTCAAATCTTTTTTTTAAATCCTTAAGTTCAAACCCTCGATTTACACCTCAAAAACATGCAATCTAGTCGGATTAGTCGATGATAATTCAATATTATAGAGTAGAAATGATCACAAGTGACTTACCTCAAGTTTTCCTTGAATTCCCTCTCAAAATCACCCCCAAAACCGTGCTTTAAGGCCCAAAAATGGCAAAACTCGGAACCCTTCTATTTTTAACATTCTGTCCAGGATTTTCGCACCCACAGTGATTTCTTCGCACCTGCGGTCTTCGCACCCGCGGTAATTTCTTCTCACCTGCGGTCTTCGCACCCGCGATGATTTCTTCTCACCTGCGGTCTTCCCACCTGCGATGATTTCTTCGCGCCTACGGTCTTTGCACCCGCAGTGATTTCTTCGCGCCTGCGGTCTTCGCACCCGCGATGCTTTCTTCGCGCCCGCGGTGTTCGCACCCACGATGCTTTCTTCGCACCCGCAGTGCCTGGCCAGCTCATGTATTTTTGCTTCTGCGAATCATTCCTCGCATCCACGAGCTCGCACATGCGGCCCTTTTTCGCGCAGGTGCGATCACACTAGATGCCCAGCTGCTTCAGCTCCTCCTCCAAATCTAAATTCGATTCGTTAAGCAATCGAAACTTACCCGAGGCCCTCGGGACCCCGTCCGAACATACCAACATGTTCCATAACATAACACGGATCTGTTCGAGGCCTCAAATCATATCAAACAACATCAAACGAAGAATCACACCTCAAATCAAAATTTATGAACTTTGAACTTTCAAATTCTATATCTTGTGCGGAAACATAACAAATCAATCCGGAATGACTTCAAATTTTGCACACAAGTCATAAATGACATTACAAAGCTATTCAAATTTCCAGAATCAGATTTCGACCCCGATATCGAAAAGTCACCCCTCCCCCCCACGGTCAAACTTTCCAAAATTCAACTTTTGTCATTTCAAACTTACTTCCACTACGTACCTCCAAATAATTTTTCGGAGACGCTCCTAAGTCTAAAATCACCATACAGAGCTATTTACATCATCAAAATTCCATTCTGGAGTTGTCTACTCAAAAGTTAACTCTCCGGTCAATTCTTTCCATTTAAGCTTCCAAACAAGGATTGTTCTTTTAGTTAAATTCCGAATCTTCAGTAAATCAAACTCGACCACACCCGCGGGTCATAAATATATGTTGCGATGCTATCGATACCTTAAGTCCCTGAACGGAGCATTAATTCTTTAAATGACAAGTCAGGTCGTTACAATACGTAACCCCAACTTCAAGTGCACGTACGCATGTCTTGAATCAACTTCAAAATAATAATAAAAATAAACATGTCGTAAAGCGCGGGTGCGTTTCACGCGGTGCGGTTTGCGATGTGTATAAAACGACAAGTGTATGACATCGTAACTTGTTCAAATAAATTCCATAAATACATAAAATGGCCAAAATATTTGTTAAAAGCGGTAAAAGGGTAAAAAGTGCACAATAAGTCTAAACACATGTAATAATCGGACAAATAAGCCAGGTGTAATTGTAAGGCAACTGTGCTAAAACTACAAAATTCGGCAGTGCATCACACCTTTTCCCGGGTTAACAGAATTCCTTACCCAGGTCTTCCATGTTTCGAATACTGATACAAAGTCAAATTTTCCTTGATTTAGGATTTAAAATAAATGGCGACTTGGTACGCCGTAAATAATTATTCCAAGTGACGACTCTATAAATTAAATAAAATAATCCCTTTTCAAATAATGTCACTTTAATTGGAAAAACTCATTTGGTCCTTTCCCCAGTAAAAAGGAGGTGTGACAGTGCCTCGCAGAGTAATGTTGGTGCCTCTAACAATTCCCCGCACCGACAATGCTTATCTCAGCCACTTTTATTTTCTCATTATGTTTGGACGTGTAGACCTCGGCCCCACTATATAAATACTTCTTAAAGCTAGTTTTTGAGGGCTTAGACATCATTAGAGAGGCAAGAGCCTACAGAACACTCTGGAGAACGAATCACAAGAGTTTTTCTCTCTGCTTTCCTTGAATTTGTAGTTTAATGCTTTTGGATATTACTATGATTATTTACACAATTATGCGTAGCTAAACCCATCATTTAGGGTTGATGGAACTAATTGTTGGATGAAGTCTTGATTGCGTATTGATATAATTGAGTCATTTTTACTTTGTAGTTGTTCAACTATGTGTTTCTTGTGGTTAATTGAAGGGCTCTTGATTAATCGTGTCTAGTTATCTTGTGTTGCTTGAGAGAGAACACTTGATTAGATTATTATTGAAAAACTCCACTTTCGAGTAAGTTAAGAGATTAATTACTTGGATTTAAAAGTGGGATTAGAGATAACAAAGCTTTGGCGCGATCTTTATAAGTTGTACGAATTGTCAGCTAGAGTAGTTCGAGAGAATACTTCTAGTAAATTATCGTAATTGATCAATAGATTATAGTAATAAACAAGAACTCATCATATTTAAAGAGTGTTACAGTGAGGTTATAGCTAACGTGTTAGGAATTAATCCGACAATTGAGAAAATCATAAACCCTAGATCTTTTTATCTTTGATTCAACCTCATTCTTGCTAGTTGACAGTTTTTATTATCATTTTTTTCTTAGTTAAGTAATTTTTGTTAATTCGCAAATCAAATCTTGAACTCTGAAAGTTGTCTGAGCTTATCATTAGTGAATTTAAAAAGTTGTAGCAAATAGGTTAGTTCCCTATGGGATTCGATTTCGGACTCTTGAACCGAATTATTTTTGCAGTGACCGCTTAGTCCTTTTTATAAGACATAGTTGGGCGTGATCAAACTTTGGAGCCGTTGCCGGGGAACTAACGGTGTTATTCGTTACAACTTGAAAGAATTTCTAGGATATTTAGTTTAGATAAATTTTTCGTGGTGCTAAAAATATTTTCATTGAAATTCTCACGTTTGAATTCTTCTGTGACTCATGTGCATTCCCACGTTTAGAAGCTCCTTGAGAACTGGTGAACTATTTGAAGGTCTCTCAGATCCCCAGAAAGCATTCAGGACATTGAATCAGGCTAACAAGAAAGGCAAACAACTAAAACTGAACAAACAAATCGAAATTTAAATGGCTGACGTCGAGAACATCAACCAGAATAATAGAAATAATCAAGTTGACCCATACATCAGAGTGGTAGCACCCCTTGTGCCGGAGGATGCTCTATATGATTGGGCGCAACCAACCGCTGACAATTTGGCAACTGCAATTGCCGTCCCTCAGATACAAGCAGAAACTTTTCAAATTACAAATAACATGCTACACTTGCTGCAGAACAAAGGGTTGTTATCCGGGTCTCACATCGAAGACTCACAACATCTAAAGAATTTTCTATCAATTTTTGTCAATCAAAGACATCCGATTGTGACACCCGAAGCAATCAGATTGTTACTATTTCCATTCTTAGTGACTAGGGAGGCTCAAACTTGGCTGAATTCACTCTCAATAAACTTCATTGCTACTTGGAAGGAACTAGTCAAGCAGTTCTTAAACAAGTTTTATCCACCCAATAAGACTGCAAGGCAAATTGATGAGATACTACAGTTCAGGCAGAAACCAACTGAAATTTTGCAAGAAACCTGGGAAAGGTTTAAGGGTATGTTGGTGAAGTGTCCACACCATGACATCCCAGATCAGATGTTAGTATAGAGATTCTATATGAGTTTGGTTGACAATCTGAAGGCTAATGTAGATGCTTCATTCGGGGGTGCATTCTTGAGCAAATCATTCATAGAGTGTAAGATTCTTCTTAACAAGATGGCTCGAAATTCAGGCTGGATGACGAGGGATACAACACTCACTCCAATAGTGCATTCTATTTCTCTTGACCTAAACAATACAAATGCAGAAAACATAGCCACTCTAATGACCCAGATGAGCTTGTTGACGAAGAAAATTGACGAGATGGGCACGAAATAGGTTCACATTATTGACATGACAAATGGAGGTCTATACACCCCGTGCATTAATCAGTCGTATATTTGCTTGTGGAGTGGAGAAAGTGATAACCAAGGCTTAAGAGAAGACAAGAATTACGTGAATAATTTTGGGGGTCAGAGACAAGGTGGACAATAATGGGGACCTCAGGATCAGCAGTACAGACCAGCCCAACAATAGTACAATACCAATCCGGGGGGAGCATGACCGCAGGGACAAGTTGTGCCCTATCAAAGGTAACTAGGTTATAATCAGCAACATCAACAACAATTGTCTTACCAACAACCTTATCAATAATAAGTGACCAGACAAGAAGACAGTAATATGACAGAAATCAAGGGCATGCTGCAACAAATAATTGGGACCAATGGAAAGATGCAAGAAAAGTTAGCCACACATGACTCGGCTATTAAAGGCATTGAAACTCAATTAGGCCAGTTGTCCATAGATTTGAACAATCTCCCACAAAGAACATTGCCTGCAGACACACACATCAATCCAAAAAAGCAGAACTAGAACCAGTTAATGGCAGCGAGTCTCGGGAATGGAAGGGATTTGGACAGAGAGCAAGAATTTGCTCAATCTAATAGAGAGACAGTGTCTCCTACTCCAGTGCCATTCGAGATTGATGAGTCGACATAGCTCACAGAGGTCGTAGTTGACAAGCACAAGTTGACAAAGGCAAGGAGAAAGAAATTGAACAGTTTCCAGAACAGGTATTAGAAAAGACTTCTAATGAGGAAAAGACATAGATCAGTGGGAAGAAGCTACTTCCAGCACCATTCCCTCAAAGGTTGGCAAAGCAAAAGAAAGATGATCAATACAGGAAATTCATGGAAATGCTCAGGCAGATTCAATTGAATATTCTTCTTATGGATACTTTTGAGGAAAATGCCAGGCTACGCTAAAATGATGAAGGATTTGATATCTTGAAAGTTTGATTTCCAGGACCTGTCTACTGTAACTCTGACTCAAACTTGTAGTACGGTAGTGACAAGACCTATGGCTGAAAAGTTGTCTGATCCCGATAGTTTCACTAACCCATGCACAATTGGAAGTTATGCTTTTTCTAAAGCATTGTGTGACTTGGGGGCCAGTATTAACTTGATGCCTTTGGCAATCTACAAAAAGTTAGGCATTGGTAGAGCTAGACCAACATCAATATTATTGTAACTGGATGATCGCACACTGAAAAGGCCAACAGGAATTCTGGATGATGTGCTCGTCCAAGTGGGAAAATTTATATTTCCTGCTGATTTTGTTATTCTTGACTACCAGGTTGACGAAGAAATACCCTTAATTTTGGGAAGGCCAAGTTTAGCTACGGGTAGAGCATTGATTGACTGTGAGATCAGAGAGTTGAAAATAAGGTTGAACAATGAAGAAATAATATTCAACGTTCAACAATCTATGAAGAGGCCCGGCGAATTTGCAAATTGTTCGCTAGTGGAGGCAGTTGATGTGATACTATAAGAGGAGGATGAGATTCTTCATGTCAGATACCCATTAGAAACTTACTTGATGAATCTAAAAGAAGTTGATGGTGAAGAGTTGGCGGAGTGGGTTATGGCTCTTGAAGTTCAAGGTTTCTGGAAAAGAGAACCTCAGTTTGAGCCCTTACACTTAGAAGAAAGAAAAATATCACCTACGAAGCCGTCGATAGAGGAGCCACCACAATTGGACCTGAAACTGCTTCCAGCTCACCTCAGGTACGCTTTCTTAGGATCTAACTCTACTTTACTTGTTATCATCTCATATGGTTTGTTAGCTGTGTAGGTAGAACAACTTTTACAAGTGTTACGAGAATGTAAGAATACTATTGGTTGGACCATGGCAGACAATAAGGGTATCAACCTATCCTTTTGCATACATAAGATTCTCTTGAAGGATGGGCACAAACCTTCCAGGGAACATTAAAGAAGGCTGAACCCGAATACGAAGGAAGTGGTGAAGAAGGAAGTGATTAAATGATTGGATGCAAGCATCATCTTTCCTATTTTGGATAGCGATTGGGTAAGCCCAGTCCAATATGCTCCTAAGAAAGGTGGCAATATGTTATACAAAATGATAATAATGAGTTGATCTCTACTCGTACAGTTACGGGTTGGCGAATTTGAATGAATTACAAAAATTTGAACACTGCCACCCAAAAAGACCACTTTCCCTATTGTTCATTGACCAAATGTTGGATAGATTGGTAGGGAGGTCTCACTTATGCTTTTTGGATAGATATTCGGGTTACAATCAAATCATAATAGCCCCTAAGGATAGAGAAAAAACGTCATTCACTTGTTCGTATGTCATCTTTGCCTTTCGGAGAATGCCGTTTGGCCTATGCAATGCACCAGCCACTTTCCAGAGGTGTATGCTAGCCATTTTCACTGATATGGTTGAAGATATTATGGAAGTCTTTATGGATGATTTCTTAGTGGTGGTCAATTCATTCGATGACTGTCTTAACAATTTGAGAAGAGTGTTGAAAAGGTGTGTGGAGACAAACCTGGTGCTGAACTGGGGGAAGTGCCATTTTATGGTACAATAAGGTATAGTTTTGAGGCATTGAGTGTCAAGTAAGGGTATTGAGGTCGACCATGCTAAGGTTGACGTGATAGAGAAGTTTCCACCGCCCACTTCGGTCAAGGCAGTAAGAAGTTCCCTTGGGCACACCGGTTTCTACAGGCGATTTATAACTGATTTCTCTAAAATTGCTAATCCCTTATGTAAACTGCTTGAAAAGGATCATCCCTTTATGTTTTCTAGTGATTGCAGGTTAGCATTTGAGGAGCTGAAGAAGAGACTGGTGACTGCATCAATCATCGTTGCACCCGACTGGGAGCTATTTTTTGAGCTCATATGGGATGCAAGTGACTATGCTATAAGAGCAGTTTTGGGGCAGCGAAAGGACAAAATGGTGCATTCAATTTGCTATACAATTAGAACGTTAAGCGGTGCACAACTCAATTATACCGTGACTGAGAAAGAGATATTAGTTGTAGTGTTTGCATTGGACAAATTCAGGTCTTATTTTATAGGTTCAAAAGTAATTATTTATACTGACCATGCAACACTTAGGTACTTGATAGCAAAGAATGGGTCAAATCCACGCTTGGGGTTCTTTTTCTACTAGAATTCGATTTGGAGATCCGCGATAGGAAAGGAACGGCTAACCAAGTAGCATACCACCTTTCAAGGTTGGAGGGAGCTGAAAAGAAAGTAGAGGTTGAAGATATAATTGAGATATTCCCGGATGAACAATTACTAGTAGTGGCAATGGAGGAGACGCCTTGGTATGTTGATATTGCTAACTATTTGGCAAGCGGTATTGTACCTCATGAACTCTCTTCGATTCAAAAGAACAAGTTATTTTGTGATTATCGGTCTTAGTATTGGGTTGAACCTTTACTTTTTAAAATCTGTGTGGATAACATGATCCGGAGGTGTATCCCCGAGAAAGATCAATCTTCTGTTTTGCAGGCCTGCCATGCTTCAACATATGGTGGGCACTTTGGAGGAATTTGGAAAGCTGCGAAGGTGTTGGATTCGGGTTAGTATTGGCCGACTCTATTCAAGGATGCCCATGCTTGGGTGAAAAGGTGTGATGAGTGTCAAAGAACCGGCAATATATCTAGCCGTCATGAGATGCCGATGACTACAATTCAAGAGGTGGAAGTGTTTGACGTGTGGGGGATTGATTTTATAGGACCATTTGTCCGCTCGTATAGTAACAAGTACATATTGGTAGCAGTTAACAATGTAACCAAATGGGTTGAAGCTGTGGCTCTTCCAACAAATGATGGTGGAACTCATTTCTGCAATAGAGCATTCGCAAGGCTATTAGAAAAGTATGGAGTTCGCCATAAAATTGCCTCACATTAACACCCGCAAATGAGCGGGCAAGTGGAAGTGTCCAACATGGAAATCAAAAGTGTCTTGACCAAGATAGTGAATGCGACTCGGATTGATTGGGAAAGGAAGTTGGATGATGCGTTATGGACTTATCGCACAACCTTTAAAACTCCAATCGGTATGTCTCCGTACAAGTTGGTGTTGGGAAAAGCATGCCATCTTTCGGTGGAGCTTGAGCATAAAGCCTTACGGGCACTGCGACAGTTGAATTTGGACACGAAAATTGTGGGCACAAGTAGAGTTACAGAGTTACATGAACTCGAGGAGTTCCGGTTCCAGGCATTTAAGAGTACAATATTGTACAAGGAAAAGATGAAGATGATGCATGATAAGCATATTCTAGATAGGAACTTCAAACCTAGGGATCTAGTGTTGTTATATAACTCGAGATTGAGATAATTTTCGGGTAAGCTGAAATCTAGATGGTCGGGACCATTTAGAGTTGTACAAGTGTTCCCAAGTGGAGCTGTAGAAATTGAGTCCGAAGATGGGACAAACAGGTTTAAAGTGAATGGGCAAAGGTTGAAACACTACGTCGGAATGATTGAAGAAAAATGGGAGAAAGTTGTGATGTACTTGGAAGAGCCCCAATATGTGACCCGAGTGTAATCATGAAAGCCTGCATCATGTCACAACGTCAAATCAGGCGCTTCTTGGGAGGCAACCTATGACCGTGTTGTATTTGCCATGCCATGACGTTAACTAAACCGCTTATTGGGAGGCAGCCCAATTCATAGCATAGATTTAGTTAGTTTTAGTTCTTATTTGATATGGAGGAGGACTAACAAGTTAGCTTTGTGTGAATTTCATGTATTTTGCTAGGTATTAGAGCTACTTGGAAGAAAGATGTGCTTGGGGCTAAACAAGCAGTTGCAAAATGAATAAGAAAACACCGAGCCATCGCGGGGCAAAGTCAAATACGCAATCTTAGCGTGCCTCGCGTTGCTTAGCACAAGGGTACAGTGCCCCCACACCCCATCCCGCGCTGAAAACTCATTGCCCCACACGCTGCCTCACATGGTCTTGTGCACAGCTATTAGCACGCCTGCTAGAGTCTCGCAAGGTTTGGACGTCGCCCCTCACATGACCTGACTGTGTCCAGTGCTACAAAATCAGCATGCCTGAGGGCACCTCGCGCAGCTTCAACGCCGCGTCTCATGCTGCCTCACGCAGCCCAGCGCCAAGAGGCCCAGGTAAGTCCCTCATTTCCTTTTTCTTGTGTTTTTACTCCTTTCATCTAAAACCCTACACCCCTCTTAATTAATGACCAGTCCCACAAATACCCCTTCCTTGTAAAAACCCACATGACCCCAACCCCTAAAACAAAACAAAACAACAAAAAACCTTCTGCCTAAAAATTTCCCAACTCCACTGTCCCGTTCCCAAGCAACAGTAAAATTACCATCTCTTCTCCTCCTCCTCACCCCACTGCCATGTCACTACTACAAACTCTCACCTCACTGCCCCATCTCTCAATCTCGATCTCCATGTATGTTCTCTCTCTCTCTCTCTCTCTCTCTCTCTCTCTCTCTCTCTCTCTTATTCTCTAGTTATACAAGACAAATTATGTGAGTTAGCTAGTTTATTTTGCACGTGGCACCAATGATGGGATTATACTAAAATTTCTCCCAACCTCTAATACCTCATAGGATATCTTGTGATTATTGTAATGAGTATTTCACACTCGATTCCAAGCCGATTTGGGAGGGTGGAGCAATCATTCACCCAGACAAATTGCTTCATTGGCGATTTTAGTCCCAATTGGAGCCCGAGTCTTCGGGAGTGTTTGTTTTGTGTTAGGTGAGCATGATTGATATGGACACCTAAGTATGGGGTGAGTCTACAGAGTCGGGGTAGATTGATAAAGTGTGTTTGCAATGACATACGAGCTATGTGTAGTGCCGAAATTTAGATGCTAATGCACCTACTTGATGAAGGCGAAGTCTGAGTAGCCTATAGTTTAAAGTAATTAGCATATCTTAGAGCTTCAAGTGTGGGGTCACTCCGACCTTATCTTTGCGAAATTTTGTGTTCCCTTGAATTGACAATTGGTATAGTTGACAGGTATGTGCAATATAGTTCATCCAACAGCTAGTTCTAAGGCACCAGCTAAGGCCAAAACATCACCAAAGGCAAAGGTTACCCCGTTAGGCCCACCGCCAAAGAAAAGAAACAGAGTTGAGGTTACGTCTGATAGTCACAGTGGTAAAGGAAGACAAGTGGATTCTATTTCTATCGAGGAGCAACCTCAATAGAATGTGACTCGTGAGTATGGCATTAAGAGTGTGCCCCTATCTGGGAGGGCATAGTACAAGAAGTGTCATCCAAACTCATATCTCCCTGATTTTGCAGTTGATGAGCACAAATTGAAGTCCCGTTACCCGCAGTTTTAGGAAAGAATACATGAACTAGGATTGGGTGTTGTATTTAAAAATCCGGGAGAGGCAAACTTTAGCTTAGTGCGCGAGTTCTACGCTGGGTGGAGCCTTGAGGATGAGGAGCAATTGGTGCCTATTAGTGGGAGGCTTATTGATATTTCGGCTGGCGCATTATGTAGATTTTTGGAT